GGGTGGGTGGAAGAGGAGGGAGTCTGGAAGGGCCACAGTGGACTTGGGAGACTTTCTTCCCTGCGCCCACTTTGCTCCAGCCCAGCTCCGAGGTGCCCCGGCAGTGCCCATTCCACGGGGAGGTGGAGAGACTGGGACAGAAACTCAGACCACCTAGGCCTTTGACTTCCTCCTCCCCTCCTCCTGGAAGCTTCCCTGGAGGGGATTTGAGTAAATTGAGTAAGATTCCTCTCTGACCTCCCTCTTGAGGCAGGGGTGACCAGGAGGGTGGGAGGTGTGCAGGGGGAAGGGGCCCCCAGCCCTTGCTCAGTTGGGGTGGACGTTAGGAGCTTTGTGGTGTGTTTGTGGGGTGGTGGATGGCAGGGTAGCTAACAGCTGGGGGGCCTCAGGGGCACTTTCTCCAGGAAGCTGGGGCTGACGCTTCCCAGCTGTGTGGGCCCCATCTGGCTCTCTGCCTTGGTGTCTCCAAGGACCGGAACCATCTGGAGGGAAGGGCCTGGGTGGCCTAAAGACACAGTAATTCCAGGCCAAGGCTTCGGGGCAGAGCCACCGGGGCTGGGCAGAGAAGCCTTCACTATCCGTCTCCTCTGTCAGCCTTGCACCCAGGGGCTGCTGGCAGGTGTCTGTGGGGCCCCTTGGGGTGCTCTACCTCTCGCTGCTCCACAGGAGAGCCCCTCCCCTGCGTGCAGAGGCAGGTCTCAGCTTCCCTCTGAGAAGTGCATGTGGGCAGGGGCTGGCGAGGGGCAAGGGGCAGTGTGGGCAGGGTGCTGCTACTAGTAAGCAGCTGTGAAGACCTGTGATCCCCAGAGCAGCCTGGGATTCGGTGCTAATCCTAGCAGCCGAGCCTCTCTGGCCTTGCTGAGCGGTGAGCATCTCACCTCAGGTGCCACCCTCACCCCTTTGGAGAGGGCCCCCTGGGGCACTGAGGGGTGCATGTTTGCTCCTGGCACACGGAAGCAGGCTGGACCCGGGACACACCCACCTCCCTGTGCTGTGTCCTGGGGTGGGAGCACCCTCTCTTCACTGTATCCAGGCTCATCCGCCCTGGATGAAGCCCCATCCCTTTGCTGCTTTTCCGTGCTTTCTCCCTGTGCTCTGCTCCCCCAGCTGCGGGGAGAAGTCTCCATGTCCACTGTCAACCCTTCATTTTACAAATGGGGAGGCGCAGAGAGAAGAAGCGATGTGCCCAAGTGACTGACAGACCCTGGGGCTCCTGATTCGGATCTCAGGGATGGCCCATCCTAGTGAGTGGTCCCCCCTTGGGTCACCCCTCCTGCTCTGTCCCCGCCTCCCCCATTTCCTATTACTCCTTGGGATGCTGATGCAAAATATGGCCCCTCCCCCATCCCCAAGGAAACCAGAACCCAACCACTCGCCCCTCCCCCACCCCAGGGTTCTGCCTCCCTCATCCTTACTTCCCCAGCGGCCTTCTTAGATGCCTTCTGGCTGCCCGGACCGCAAGATGCTGCAGCAGCTGCCAGCCAGCCAGCAGCTCCCAGGCTGCTGG